ACAAAAGGGATCCTTTCTTTCTTCCCTTCCCTCCCCTTTTTACTAGGAGAGTAGGGGATGGGAGGACAAAGGAAGGAAAAGGAAAGAAATTGGGGCCAATTGATTAGTTACTGGTTAGTTGCATCTTTACAAAGGTCTAATATGCCTGGAGGAAAAAACAAAGAGGGTGAGGAGAATTATTGAAGTAGGGGGGAGTTGTTTTGCAAAATTACCATTGTTACCACCAACTCTTCATCTCATTTCTTTAACATATTTCACAAAATATTAATGTTTTTAATCTTTAATTCCATATAAGTCTATCTTCTGTCTTCTCACATTGTCTCCTGGGTCCCTTTCGCACAGCTGTATAAAATCCACATTGAACTGAATTATATGGCAATATAATTCAGATAACCCATTTCAAAGGAGATACTGTGGATTATCTGTCTTGGTATTCTGGGTTATATGGTAGTGTCAACTCCGGGCCCTTCCACACAGCACTCTATCCCAGAATATCAAGGCAGAAAATTGCACATTATTTGAGTGTGGACTCTGATAACCCAGTTCAAAGAAGATATTGTGGGATTTTCTACCTTGATATTCTGGGATAGAGGGCTGTGTGGAAGGGTCCTCAGATAATCCTGTTCAGATAATACAGTTCAAAGCAAATATTGTGGATTATCTGCCTTGATGCACTGGGTTATATAACAGTGTGGAAGGGCCCTAGGTCTTATTTATTTATTTATTTATTTATAGACTTGTATACCGCTAATATCTCAGCCGAAATCGGCGACTCATTGCGGTTTACAACAGTTAAGAACAATACCATATTAAAAACATGAAACACAATTACAATACAAATTATTGGGCCACCAATAAAATCCGATGCATCTCGTAACTAAAATCCCAATCCAAATTCGTCGTCCGTGATTGTCAGTCCTTTAGTCATCAACATTCGGTTGCAACGTACTAGCCAAATGCTTGTTTGAACAACCATGTTTTCAGTCTCTTCCGAAACACCATCAGCGTAGAGGCTGATCGTACCTCTAAAGGGAGGGTGTTCCAAAGCCGAGGGGCCACCACAGAGAAGGCCCTGTCTCTCGTTCCCGCCAACCGCACTTGTGAAGTCTTCATATATTCCTTTCCAATTCTTCCTCAATGGAAATTGATTTTTCATAACAAATTATTTCATGTTAAAATTTTCTTTAAATTATTTGTTATTGATATCTACCAAGAAAGTTCTACAGTTTTCATTTAGATTGTTAGGTTAATATTTATATCATTTTATCATTATCCTGCTGTCTCTATAATTACATCAGATATACTTTCCGTCAATAACTCTTGGTTTCAAAAACTCTTTCGAGTTAACTATAAATAATCACGTAGCATGATAATTTTCTTATTTTTAAGAACTGTCCTGAAGGCCAGGGTTCCTTCCACACAGCTGAATAAAATCCCTTCCTTTAATCCCTTCACATTATCTGCTTTGAACTAGAATGTATGGCAGAATTAACTCAAATCACCCAGTTCAATCAGATATTGGGGGATTTTCTGCCTTGATATTTGAGGTTATAGGGCTGTGTGGAAGGGCCCCAGATCTCTCCAACTTCTCTTTCTCAAGGTTTGTTCTCACTATCCTGTCTAGCCATCTTTTATATCAATTTCCCACTATTTATATACATATGTAAACACATTCCCTCTCTCTATATATATATTTGTATGTGTTTCTATAATTTCTATATCAATTATAATGTACTTTTTTTTGTTATAGTTTCTTAACAATTGACTCACCAGATAGCATTCATCTCTTAAGTTTAAACAAACAAATTACAGAAGATAATAATAAATTATTTATCTTAATTTTAGTTATTGAATTGTGTCATGGTCATCTTTTGGTTCTTTTCTCCCTTCTTTTGTAGCTCCCCTAATTCCTTTCTCAAAACCTTTGAGAAAAAGAATTCCTTCTTTTCTTCTTTTGCAGCGCCCCACCCCCACTACCTTCTGGCTCAAAACCTTAGAGAAAGGGCTTCCTTCTTTTCCCCCTCTCTTCCTTCTTTCCTTTTCTCTCCCTCCTCTTTCCTTCCCTTTATCTTTTTTTCCTTTGGAGTCACCCCCACTCCCTCCATGCTCAGAATGGAAAAAAAATTGTCATTATACGTTGTACAAAACAACGCACGCATCCCTCCACACTCCCACCACCACCAACTGCTCTGAAGAAAGGCATCCTTTCTTCTTTCCTACCTTTTTCTTTTTTCCCTCTCTTCCCTCATTTTTTTCTTCCTTCCTCCTGTCCTCCCTTCCTTCCTTCACAGCACTTTTCACTCCCTTCTTGCTAAAAACCTTTGAAAAAAGGAATCCATCCTAACTTCCTTCCCTTTCTTCCTTCTGCTAAAGGTCTCAGGGCAGTTCTACATAGGCAATGGAATGCAGTCCAAAGCTATCTCCAGGTTGGGGTGTCCACAAAACATAACACACACGCTCTCCCCAATGCGTGCTCCAGCAGACATCCAGCCAGAAAATTTTTTTTTAAAAAACTCAGGGGAAGTACTAGAGCAAGGCATAAAAGCAGCTGCAGCTTATCAGTGTACATCCCATGTAGAGCTGGACTCTAGACCAGTCATGGGCAAACCTTGGTCCTCCAGGTGTTTTGTACTTCAACACCCAGAAATCCCAGACAGCTTACTGGCGGTTAGGGATTGTGGGAGTTGAAGTCCAAAACACCCAGAGGGCCAAAGTTTGCCCATGCCTGACCAAGCGCTGGTCAGGATAAGGATAGTGCTGGGCTGGAAGGTAAACAATCACTCAGAGGATGCCACAGCATTCCCAGGGGAATGCTCACTGTGCCCCACCTTACTCTAGCACAGGCGTGGGCAAACTCCAGCCCTTCGGGTGTTTTGGATTTCAACTCCTACAATTCCTAACAGTCTACAAATTGTGGGAAGTCCAAAACATTCGGATTGATATGCAATCAGCAAATCCTCATGGCCGTTATCCCAGCCTCCTACTGGTTACTGGGTTGCTTGTGTGCTCCACAGTGAATTGGCTCACTTTAATCCACATCCTGACTCAGCCTGTGTTGAACCATTCTTGGTATCTCTTCATCCAGTATGCCAATATCACATTATCAGTGGAAGTTTAGCCCAAAAAGTAGCTTTACTACAATGTGTTGTTGAAGGCTTTCATGGCCTGAATAATCACTGGGTTGCTGTGGGTTTTCTGGGCTGTATAGCCATGTTCCAGAGGCATTATCTCCTGATGTGGGTGAAACGTAGGGAGAGAATGCCTCTGGAACATGACCATACAACCCAGAAATTCACAGCAAACCAGCTTCACTACATTTCTACCCTGCCACACCACTTTGCCCGAACCTCCTTGACTTGAAGGGCACACAGAGAGGGAAAAGGGGAGAATCTTAATTCTAACAAAGGGAATGACTGAGCCACTTTGCATGAGAAAAGCCTGTTATTAATGAGACAGGGGAGATCTTTTTAGTTGGTGTTAAAGGAAGTTTTTGAACATTCAAGTACCCTTTAAGCTCCCCCCTTTCTGTTTTGTGTATGACAATATGCTCTCCAAATTCATGTCTTTTGTTAATTAATCATGTTCTTTGTTTTGTGATAGGACTCTTGCAACCAGAGATGGCTGAGGAAATAGAAGCAGTTGTGATCACACCATCTATGCTGCAGGAGGAAGAGAAGCTTGAAGCTGAAGGCAGAGAGAAGGAGAGGCAGTTAATGGAGGTTTGTGTGTTTCCTTTCTGTAAGCTCTTCTGAGAGCTTTTGGACATTTGAGTTCAATTAATAATTACTAAATATCTAGAAAAATATCATGTATACTCTTGTACAAATTGGCATCATGTCTAAGTTGAATGCAGGTTTGGGGGCACAATTATGGATTGTGATGTGTTCCATGGATAACTTGAGGGTCATTCTATGGAGATGGGAAACCAGGAGCACAGCCTAGGGGCCAGGCACCCATGCCACTACCTCCTTCCTTTCCCAACCCAAGCATGGAAAGAGGCCAGAAGTGGTACCAGAGTGGAGAAAGTAGAGGGGGATCAGTGCTTCTTTAAATTCTCCAAGTACGGGACTAAGCTCTTGCCTTTCTCCACTGTGTACATTTTGTAGAATAAGACTTAAGATGCAGCACTTACATTGATAAGTCCACCCAGGTTTTGGGGGTTGATTTTTGACTAAAATTTCTAGACGTTTTCATGAGTATATATAGTAAATCTTTCACCACATCAAAAGTCACTACAGTGATACCTTGACTTACGAGTTTAATTTGTTCTGTGACGAGGTCTAAACTCAGATTGCTCTTATCTCAAAGAAAATTTCCCCATGGAACTGCTATTAATCCATTCCTGCCCTTCAAAAACTAACACAATTTTCCGCTTTTGTCCTGTCCTTAAAATAGTCCTGGATGGCATTTCTAAATGTACTTTCTTGTCTCCAGGATAGTGTTAGAACTGATTGCCGTTGAATATAGTATACTGTTAACTTCAAATGAGCTACAAGTTCCACTCCATGCATCTTGTCCATTAAATTAAAAAGGGTTTTGGAGGTTATGTTGATCTCCTTTAATCTTTTTCTTATATACCGTAATCAATGATAGAGGCTCCTTCTGTGGAGGCTTTTAAACAGAGGCTGGATGGCCATCTGTCGGGGATACTTTGAGTGCGATTTTCCTGCTTCTTGACGGGGTTGGACTGGATGGCCCACAAGGTCTCTAGGATTCTATTCAGCTTTGGTAAAATCACCCCATTTCAGTCTTTCATCATGATCATGCTTTTATAGGAGAGTTTAATCATTTGCTATAAGAAATCATGATAAAATTTTGATTTGGCTCCTGTTGGGGTATAAACACCAGTGTTTTAATCCCATGAATTAGAATCACTACCCCTACATTTCATCCATTGTTGTCTTGGAATATTTTTGCCTTATTTTTTATTAACAATATAACTCCTTTCCTTATTTGTTAAAGTAGCAAAGTGGGTCCCAAATGTGAAATTAATAACTAATTAATTGTTCATCCTTCTGTTTAATATGAGTTTCTAGCAGCAGATCAGATCACACTTCATTTTTTCTTTATGGTGGAATGTTTCCGTGCTTTTTTTAGGACTGGTAATCCCATCTGCATTGAAAAACAGGAGTTTTAGATCCATCATTGTGACTTATCTTTATTGTTGTCTATATCCAATCATCCCATTCAGTTAGATCTTTGATCCTTTCCTCCTCCCATGTCATTTCTTCCTTGTTTCCTAGTTTTCCTACTCTGATCTGAAGCCTCTAAAATCTGCTGTTAAAGCTTTATAATACCCTGGGAAATAGGGTTTCTCTAGTGAATGCTATAATCATTGTGGTTGTTGAGAATTGTTTTCAAAACCTGGAGGATAAAAGAATTGACTTTTTCCTATATAAATGCAAGAATAGATTCCGCTTTTTAAAGCCCCTACTGGCTTTATGTTAGGGTATCTGAAAATAATTCTTCTCCTTTACCTACCTACCTACCAGATCGATGTCAAAGGACCTGCTCTGAATATCCACATGATGGTGGTTGTGAACAAAAGGGTGTTCTTAGTGGAGGCATCTCAGCTCCAGAACATTTTATCCAGAGAAGCTGTGCCTAATGCTATCTTTGTAACCTTTTCGACACTAAATGAACATCTTTCTGTTAACTCAGATTTTCTAAACAAGAGGTGTTTTGAATAACTTACATGAAGCTTTAGGCTTAATTATCAAATGCTGCCAGTATAAATAAATGGTTCTCACCTTCTTCTTGGTGCCCCCGATGGCTCAAAGAGTTAAAACCTTGCGCCAGCAGGACTGTTGACCAAAAGGTTGGCGGTTTGAATCTGGGGAGCGGGGTGAGCTCCCGTTTATCAGCTCCAGCTTCCCATGCAGGGACATGAGAGAAGGCTCCCACAGGATGGTAAAGCATCTGGACGTCCCCTGGGCAACATCTTTGCAAATGGCCAATTCTCTTACACCAGAAGCAACTTGCAGTTTCTCAAGTCTCTCCTGACATAGAAAAAAAACTCTTGTTGTCTGTTAAGAGCTTGCCTTCTCTCTGGTAGGGTAATCTGAAACCAGGAGAAGCCATGCGTAAATTGGCCAGTGCTGCTCTTTCTTCACTACAATATTATTTTGGAAAGGGAAAGAGGAAACAGCTGTAGCCTTGTTTTGTTCACTAGCCCTGTTTTGTCTGGGAAGCTGTCAGCACTTTAGATTGAGTTTAGTGTTGGAAGAAATTACACTGTTTTTAGAAATGGTTACACTGTTTTTAATAATGGTAACTGCCAGGCACTGCACTAGCAAAGGTCCTCTCCTTGCATACGACATTTGTCCATCATCTAAGAAAAGATATTCATAGAGGGGGAAATTATAGGATATAAACCTATGCAAATATGCATGTGAAAATTGTAAGGAATGAATTGTTAGATTAATCCATTAGCTCAAACATTCAGTTTCCTTTTTTTTTTTGCATTTCAACTAGCTCTCTCTCCTTTGATATTATATGAAATTAAATGTCTTACTTAGATTTCGCAAATTAATTTTAAATGTGACCTTTAATATATGTTTCAGCTGCAAACTGTTTTCACCAGCTATTTTAAATCCAGAAATGGAACAAATACTATCTACCATATGCAATTATTTTTAAGTCATCTCTTGTATAAATCGAGGACACGTTCAGGGGCCAAAACTGCAAATTTTGATGTGATCCATGAATAAGTCGAGGGTCATTTCCAGTGGAGGGGAAAGAACTAATGGCAATTAAGTAGGTCATTAAAGTGCAATTGTAGCTTAGTTGGCCTGCTGACAAATTATACATTTCCTCTATTTCCTTGTGGAAGATCATGATAACTGAATTGCTTACATTTAATAAAATGTTAACTTTGCAGTGAAGAAATTTTGATTTTTAAAAATGACTGCAAGATCCAGATATTGTTGAAAATACTAAACGATTACTTCTTCTTTGTTTCAGGCTCATATGCCCCGGGACAGAGACTCAAATGAAACTCGCTACAAGAGGCTTCAACACTTGCTTGAAAAAAGCAATATTTACTCAAAGTTCTTGCTGACCAAAATGGAACAGCAGCAATTAGAGGTGAGTGGAAAAGTTAAATATACTATATTTACTTGAGTCAAACGTGCACCTTTTTTGGCTAACAATGTATGTGTGCTCCATTGTTGCTGGACTCAACAAGAGCAACTTCACTTATCCAATTAGAACTTCATACATAAAATTTCATGTAAATTTCATAGATTAAATGAATTATCTCTACTGTCTCTGAACATAAAACATTGGTAAAAACATACCCGGAAGCCTTGTTTTCTGAACAAGACCAAAAACATTGCATCCTTTTGTCTCAGACTGCACACTTCAACCTCTCTATGCCATACTTTCCTTCCCACTTTTCCAGGGTAAAAACGGTTATTTTACATAAACGTGTTCTTCTCTTTTTAAAGGAGCAACGAAAGAAAGAAAAACTGGAAAAAAAGAAAGCGATGTTAAATACTTCAAAGGTAAAAGAAGTCTTGAAGACTAGATACATGGAGGATGAGCTCTGTGCGTGGCAAAATTGTTCACTTCATTTTCTTCCAAGTATTTTGTGCCTGAATTGTTTTTGTCTAGTTGGGATTAAAATCCTCATTTATAAACAAACATTCAGTTGGAATGTTTAAAAAAATGGATTCTTTTGTCACAACCCAGAGCATAAAAGACCCATAACCATTGGAGGCATTTCTACTGGACAGTTGTTTACAGATGCAGTATTAGCAGAGAAGGTTATCACCAGTTCCCGACAACACATGAGAGCTGGTTTGTAACTCGGTCCACAAGAAGGTCAATCTCTTAGTCATTTCTCTGTTCCAGAGAGAGTCCCAACAAAATAATCTCTTAGGATGACATGAAAATGTCCCAGGATCATCAGGAAATTCGATCTAGCATTTTGCTGGGGTTCATCATTGAAATCGGTCAGAAGATATAAATTCCAGAAAATCAAACCACACAATGATTTGTGTATAAGAGAAAGTTCTTACAGTCTAAAATCACAATTGTTCCATCTAGCACAGAAATCAAGAACCCGTTTGTGTTCTGAAACATTAGTGGGATCAGGCACCACTTGGTAAAGAACCACAGTCATCATAGCAAGCATGAAGTCCTGTTTCACTCTTGAGAGAGCATTTTCAGCATCGATCATATAATCATAGAACTGGAAGAAACCACAAGGGACATCCAGACCAACCCCCTGCCATGCAGGAACATATAATCAAAGTGCTCCCGACAAACGAAACTTGGAAACTTTCAGAGAAGGTCATTCTACCATGCTCAAAGACAAAATATTCCATTGTCAAACAGCTCTTACCATCAGGAAGTTCTTCCTAATGTTTAGGTGGAATCTCTTTCCCTGTGTTTTGAATCCCTTGCTTCATGTCCTGGTCTCTAGAGCAGCAGAAAACAAGCCAGCTCCCTCAATGTGATGTTTGCTGTGTATATGCTCCGGTCTGAGTCAACTGCGGAGTGAGAAGGGCAGAATATAAATGTTATAAATAAGAATAATGTTGAAGTGCTCCAGCACAACAAGTTGAGAGGTCTTCTCTGGCTAGTTCAGGAGGGAAGACTTTGGAGCAGTACAAAAAGAGAATCTATTCTGTACTGGCCAATCACATTCTAATATGTTTTAAGATCCAGCAAATTCATGATAGGACACCTAGTGAGGGGATGGAATTACAATAGATCATGGGAACTTCTCTCTCTTGTCCTCCAAGTTTTGCTTGCTTCTCTAAAGAGAACAGTGGTAGGAAGAATTCAGAGGTCACCATAACCAAGTCCCTAGGATTATTTTTGTGTGTGTCATGAGTGACTTGAGAAACTGTAAGTCTCTTCTGGTGTGAGAGAATTGGCTGTCTGCAAGGCATTGCCCAGGGGATGCCCAGATGTTTTGATGTTTTACCATCCTTGTGGGAGGCTTCTCTCATGTCCCCGCATGGGAAGCTGGAGCTGACAGTGAGAGCTCATCCGCGCTCTCCCCGGATTCGAACCTCTGACCTGTCGGTCTTCAGTCCTGTCAGCATAAGGGTTTAACCTATTGAGCCACCAGGGGCTCCTAGGATACTAGCAACATAACAGGTCCTGGATAGCTCTTACTTTTCCGTTCATCACCAGCATTTTCCACACATCATACTGTCACCCACACTCTCCAGGCTCTTTGCACAGCTTGGGGGCAACAATCATGGTGTTCCCTTTTCTATTATAATCCAATAGTCTTCCCCCTGTATTTTCCTCACTCCTTTACAATTGCAGTGAGTCCTATTACATTACCTTTTCAAAGAGCACCCTTTCTTATAGGCTGTAACAGCCCCAACATTAACAGCTGTAAAGGTAACTTTTGTCTTTTATAATTTTGTTAAATGCAGGTAACATTCCCCTCTTTCAGATGGGGGAAAGGCCTTCTGTGTCCCCAGATGGCTCCTCTCCAAAGAGTTGGAATCACTTTGGTGTCAACCCATTTTGTGGCAAACCCCTTGTGCAGCTTTTATTTCCCAGCACAGGCAGATGATGCCAACTGAGCTGGAAATGAGATGATTCTTCTATTGATATGTTGCATGCATCCACTTTTTTGGGCTAAAAGAGGAGCAAAAAGCCCAGCCACACAGAGAGTACACGCTCTCATCAGAAGGAGTCTTTGTCCCCGTCCTTGGTGAATAGAAGGGTAGGAAGCCTGGCTTGTGTGGCACATGCCCCTCTTTTAGTGATGGAAAAGGTCTTCGCCCCTTTCCCTTGCTGAGAGAGGGACAGGAAGCCCAGTTGTCCTTTTTTCTGCAGAAGAAGTAGATTAAGAGGAAAGAAAAATGCACACTTGGCACCCTGGACTTGCCAGTGCCTTCATTGCTTCCCTGGGACCACTTATCATCCTGGTGTGGTGTTTAATTAGTCACAGTTTTTCCACTTTTGTGTGTGGGGCGGGCCTGTGCCCCTAACCCCCGCAAATGTTGAAGACTGACTATATATGATTTATAAGGGTGCAAATTATATTGTTCCAATTATTTTGTTTTTATAGGATGACAAAGTAAGGATAAGGAGAGAAAATAAACCAGGTGCGTCTTATAAAATTCTATGAACAAAAATGTTTTGCTACTTACGTTGGGTAAATGCAGATGCTGAAACCTCTGTAATACTATTTTACAGCTGGAAGAAAGAGAGCCAGAGAAGATGAAACATACAATATCTCTGATGTCATATCAAAAGAGGTAAATTGCTTTCCAGAGGACTTAATGGCCAAATAGGAATTAAATCTCAGATGACTTGGATGTATGTTTGACTGCATCTTGCACTGTTTCAATATTTAGATCAGGTGATATGGTTGCAGTACTTTGTTAAATGAATGGTGGAAACTAGAAAAGGAATGCATGTTATCGACGCACTGAAGAAATTAAGTAAATGGGTATCAAAATTATATTAATTATCTTAATAGCAGTGTTTTGGGTTTTTCTAGATTTCAGAAAATCCAAAACACTTTTCCCAAGTATTTTGGATAAGGTATACTTAACCTGCGATTGTAGTAACCAAATGTGTGTGAAAAGAGAGGTAACGTCTAATGTAAGGCAATGGTATTTGTTGAAGACACATAAGCAGGGTACAAATACAGATTTGTCATTATGTATATATCAGTGTTTCTTTGTGTCTAGCCAAGGGCAGTCAAAACAGTGATGATACAGGAAATGAAATCTCGTAAGAAAGGGTTGAAAAATCAGATATGTTTAGACTGAGAAAGACAATTAAGATAATATCTTCAAATAACTGAAGGGCTGCCAATCATATTTACAAGCATTTTTGGTGTTGCTGAATAGAAGGTAGAACCAAAGCAACAGTGTTGAGTTATAAGAAACAGTGATTATGTTCAACGTTAGAGGGAAATCCTATCTAATTGTACGGTCTGTATTGCAGTGAAATACACTCCCTTGGAACATGTTAGGATCTTCTTTGTTAGGTATCTCTTCTGAAAGCCCTTTGTCAGTTTTAATAATAACTCCTAAATTCCTTTCACGTGTACTGTTTTTAAGCCTGGTGTCATCCATCCTACATATGTGCATTTCATTTTTAATAGAAAAGTAAATTATGTGATGAATGAAATTT